CATTAGTCATATTATCATCTGTCAAATGAGTGAGGAGCTTCTGATACTTACCACATGGGTGCCCTGGTTTATCACTCTTTCATCTTTCTTGTAATTCATTCTTCCCTTTTAAAAGTAAAATCCAGGTACGCATGTGGATTTTTTCCCAGCGCTTTGAAATACTGTCTCTCCGAAAGGATCGCCTGTGTTCACAAAGGAGTCTCTGAATTTTTGAGCACACAACGTGCTTTGGGGTATGGATTTTGGCAGGGTGTCCCCTCCCCTGTCCACAGGTGTCCTTGTCCCACACCTCACCTCGCAGTGAAACCTCCTCCATGGGAACCTTTGTCCTGAGAAAAGCATTCCCGGGTCAGCACAGCTTCGGTCACCTTTTAAAGTGAGCGAGTGACGGGAATCATTCAGGAGTGCCTCAACAAGGAACTGGGGCACCGTTTTAGTGGTGTTTTACGATTGAAGCGCATGGTTTGTTCTTTCATAGGAAAGAGTAACAAGGCTCTATCTTCTCCTGTCGTCACCAAATTCTGTTTTGTGACTCGGCGTTTCACAGCTGGTTGCTGTAATCTGTTTTACACGAGATTGTCTGCTTTGGCGTTCTTCATTCAGGGCAGTAGTCCAAAAAGTGAGTTCAGATCAATAGTTTTAATATTTAGGTTCTGAGGTTTTTTCTCTCAAAGTTCAATTCACGTCCCTTGGTTCTGTAGGTAATGCATGTGTATCTATTTTATGTGGCAAAAATATAGGTTGACTGCTTATCAGGTCAGTGCTGCTGTTTAATAAACAGTACTTATCTCCTTGAAGCAACACCCTGCCCTAAATAAGTTTTCCTAGGGAGCTGAGACAGAAATAACTTCCTTTTAAATTTTTTTTTTTATTGGAACATTAAAAAAAAATTGGAAAAAATGTTTAAAGTCAAGATACAGGGTGAGAGTAGTCCAGCTTGGTTTGTTCTTTGGTTGGTTTTTTCGAACTCCATCAGATGTGCAGGTTGTAAAACCGTGCAATCATGTCTTTCCGCAGTTATTCTCAAAACTCAATGTGTGCCTTCACTTTTATTTACTGTTTCTTGCCAAAACTTCAGTGGCGGAATGTGGTGATGTTGGGCAACATGTGATTGTGTTGTTCCCGAATGCTTTGTTAGGGCTTTGTTTACGCCCCTGTAAGAGGTAGTAAGCGATCCCATTTTAATACAGTGGCAGGAGGATGTATTATTTCATTGCAAAATTGCTCAATTTTGCAGCACAAGTAGATAGGGGGGAGTTCCTCCCTCCATGGTACTGGTCTTTATACTTCCAAATCTTCTGAGCTTATTTATTTATTTATTTTTAATGTAGATTTCTGAGAACTAGTTTGTGATGTAACAAATCTGGCACAGAAAAAGGAAGGACAAGGGAATTAGGATGTGGCCTTAGATACAGAAATATTAGAAGGCATAAAAATAGCAAAGAGAAGGGATGTGCTTAATATTGATGGGACAGGAGTTGTCTAAGACAATACATAGTGCAGCTAGAATACAGAGTGTGGATATCAAGATAATAGAAATATTAAAATACAAATGCCAACAGCCTGGGCAGAAAATTAAAATATTTTTGACTGGTTGGTGCTCTGAGGATCATAGAACAACACAGAAAAAAAAAATCACAGAATAATGTTGATGAGTAGGACTTGGTTTTCAAATGGGCACGTTCCGTCATGGCAGGAAGGAAATAAAAATATGTGCAGTGATGAGCTGTAAAGCATTAAGTGATAGAATGGCTCAGGTCCTAGGTGGGAACCAGATTTCTTTGGGAAACCGATGGTGAATAAAATTCTGATGGGGTAGAGGTAGACCCTTGGTGCGCATCCTCCTGCTCTGATTCGGAGGTGGAGGATAGAAACCATTGTCATATTGCAGGTATAAATAGTTATGGGAGTATTTTTTTATGTTCCTTTCCAGCTGTAACAATAACTCTATAAGTTGGTTCGTTATATCCACAGCAGTAGGTTCTTGCCGCTTAATGACGCAGAAACTTTTTGGATTTGTCGCACCAAGCGAGGGGATCTGGTGACTGCAGGGACAACCCGAGGGAGTTATTTCAAATGTTTTTCTGATGGTGATTAAGCAGTGTTGGGAAAAGATGATACATCAGAAGTCAAGATGAGCAGGGATTTAAAACAAAAATCAAATAAGAATTGCCAAAGGTTGAGCAGAATTAGAGTCAGCTAAATATTTCGACGTGCCTTCAGGGGCGTGACTAGGGAAGGTTGAATGGGCTGCTGGAGGTGAGGACGGGGTTGTAGGTGGGAGTCTGGAGCTATTGTGTGAACAGTAGGAAGATACTTGGTCTTGTTTCTGTTACAGGTAGTTGAGACTACTGCAAAGGCAAGATGGGTAAATAAAAAGAATAATATTCAAATGAGAATTGCTAGATAACCTTTGAAAGCAAAACTGAAGGAGTTGTTTTACTTAATTTAGGGAGACAGAATAATCATGATCATTGAAGGGCCAAGTTTTAGGTCACGGAAATGCAAATCTTTGACAACAAGCAACTTTAACACATTGATCAAGTTAGTGGTGAAGGATCACAGACTTCAGTCATGATGCTTACAAAAAGGGAGGGGAAAAAAAGCAAATTTAGCTTCTGTAACATAACATCAAAAGGGCGTGTGCCTCAGAATATGTTTGGAAGACAAGGTCTGAACCAAGCTGCCCAAATGTAAAACAGATGAGATGACCCAAGATTTTTTTATAAAAATCAAAATAACTAACAAACCCACCTGTCATATTCCTGATGTCAAACCAGACCATCTGGATTCTCATGAAAGATGTGGTATGTGAGGAAATTGATGCTGAAAGTCAGGAGAACAGTAAAAATAAGTGAGGAGATATTGATGAGTGGGAAGCTGGCCATGGGGAGTGTTGAAGGGTAAAGTGGGGATATGATGCTGCTAAAGTTAGGAATGGTCCTGTTTATTATTTCGTTAGGAATCTTGGCATAAATATTAGGAATAAGTACATGGAACTTCACCATAGGGCATAGGGGGCGTCGTCAGAAAAGGAGGACTCAAGCATTGTACAGAAAGCAGGTTAAAAACCCAGATGTTTTAAAAGACCACACAGCTGGGAGCTAATAGTGGAACTGGGAGGTGATCAGTCAGAAACAACCAGGATGTAGTACCTGGCCAAGAGCTGCTGTTCTGAGACAGTGGTACAGCAGGGAAATGCATCATTAACCTGAGGTTTCCAACTGAACAGTCACAGAATTGCCCAGATTGGAAAAGACCTTTAAGATCACTGAGTCCAATCATTAACGTAACACTGACGGGTCCATCATTAAACCATATCCCTGAGCACTGTGTCTGCCCCTACCTCCGGGGACTGGAGCTCACCGCTGCCCTGGGCAACTGTTCCAATGCCTGATAACCCTTTCCTGAAGAAATTCCTCCTCATACGCAGTCTAAATGCCCTTGGTGCAACTTGAGGCTGTTTCCTCTCGTCCTGTCACTTGTTACTTGATTGAACAGACCGGCCCCCGCCTCGCTACAACCTCTGTTCAGGTAGCTGTAGAAAGCAAGGAGGTCTTCCCTCAGCCTCCTTGTCTCCAGACTGATCAACCCCAGTTTGCTCAGCTGCTCCTCACAGGACTTGATCTCCAGACCCTTCACCACTTCGTTGTCCCTCTCTGAACCCACTCCAGCACCTCAGTGTCTTTCTTGTTGTGAGGGGCTGAAAACTGAACACAGGGTTTGAGATGCAGCCTCACCAGGGCTGAGTATGGGGGAATAATAACTTCCCTGCTCCTGCTGGTGACACCGTTCCTGATCCAGGCCAGGATGCCGTTGGCCTTCTTGGCCACCTGGGCACACTGCTGGCTTGTGCTCAGCCACTGATGGCCAGCATCCCCAGGGCCCTCTTCTGCTGAGCAGCTTTCCAGCCACTCCTCTCCAAGCCTGCAGTGCTGCTGGCGGTGATGAAAGTACGATTCTGCTCTGGTGACACCTCACGTGAAGTACTATGTCCAGCTCTGGAGCCCTCAACTCAAGAAGGGCGTGGACCTGTTGAAGTGGATCCAGAGGAGGCCACAAAAATGGCCAAAGGGCTGGAGCACCTCTGCTGTGAGGACAGTCTGAGAGAGTTGGGGTTGCTCAGCCTGGAGAAGAGAAGGGAGATCTTAGAGCAGCCTTTCAGTCCTTGAAGGGGCTACAGGAAAGCTGGGGAGGGACTGCTTACAAGGGCCTCTAGTGACGAGACAAGCAGCAGTGGTTTGAAACTAGAGCGGGGTAGATTTTGACTTAATACCAGGAAGAAGTTCTTTGCTGTGAGGGTGGTGAAGCACTGGCACAGGTTGCCCAGAGAGGTGGTGGAGGCTTCGTCCCTGGAGACACTCAAGGTCAGGCTGGATGGGGCTCTGAGCAACCTGATCCAGTGAGAGATGTCCCTGCTCACTGCAGGGGGTTGGACTAGGTGACCTTTAAAGGTCCCATCCAGCCCAACGCATTCTGTGATCAGTGTGGTTGTGCTGGACCCTGCGGAGACTTCATGGAGGGAACACTGGGTCTTGTTCAGGAAAGGTGAGCTGAAAGTGCATTAGCTTGAAAAACACCTGGAAGAATGAGGTTGAAGCCTGGTTTGTGAGAAGAGACTAACAGTAGTAGTATAGCCTCAAATTAAATGAGAATTTGGTTTAAATCTAAAAAGGCAATAAGGACTACTTGATCTGAAGGTCCGTGTGTATAACCTGACCATGAATAAATAAAAATGGAAGGAAGTTTCTGGGCATTTAAGCATCGCAGTTCTGGAACAGCTTTCGAGTGGGGAAAGCGAGAGTGGAAGAAGTGGTGCCTGACCTGTTAGTGAAGGGATGTCTCTTGTCGCTGGTGCTAGCAGAGCACTGAAATTGATAATCCCAGGAAACCACACCTGGAGTCTTACGTAAGTAATGAGGAGCGTCCTGGGTTATGTCATGTGTGAAGATTTTGCTGCAAGTTGTTACTGCTCTAGACCATGGAAAACCTGAGTACTGATGTCGCCGGATTGTGAGTCGGTACCTAACGCACTTCTCTGGATTTCTAGTGGAATTTCCTAGACTGGAGCAACTGCAGGCAGATATTTACGCTTCTGCCTCACGTTGTCTGATCTGCAGCTGGTGTTTGAACTCAAGTAGAGCAGCGGTAGACTGTTTGTTCTACTTGTTTGCTGTTTAAAGGAAGCAGTAGGATGTAGTTTAATTCTAATACACAGAGAATTGCGACATGTAGGCACAACCCCTGTGCTGTATTCCCTTCTTCAGCAAGCTGTGCAGTGTGATCATCCAAGTCAAATGTATGCAGCTGAAATGCACACGTTTTATTCACTTCAGATTCATGCAACTCATCTAAGTGTGATCACAGAGGTAGTTTGAGTGGTTGGAAACTTAATTTTATAGGTGTCTGCTCAAGTATCTGTGTTTAGGTGATTCGCTTTGGTGTCTGCTTTGAAACAGAGGTTCTTCCCTGCAAAGAAGATCTGGTTCTCGATTTCCCAGCTGTGCCCTCTTGGCTGCTCAGATTCCCACCCAGATGACTTGTGATATGGGAAAATACAACTGATTTAAGATTTTGTTCATTAATCAGGGCTGGGAGATACAGCAAATGGTGAACCTGCATGGGAAGAAGACACTCGGGCTCCTGGTAGTAGGGTGTGTTTTTTCAGTCCTTAGGTGGTTTAAGAAAAGTTACTGGTTTAAACGTGTTGTGTTTTGTTGGTCAAATAGCCTGCAAATTTGATTGTCAGTCTGATACAGCTGATAGCTAATTTGTGCTTTTTCTTTTTTTCAGTGCTTGCACCTCCTCCACCGTTGCCACCACCGATACAGGGATATGCCTTTAAACCCCCTCCTCGACCAGATTTTGGCACTTCTGGGAGAACAATCAAACTGCAGGCCAACTTCTTCGAAATGGACATTCCTAAAATAGATATCTACCATTACGAGTTGGATATAAAGCCAGAAAAATGCCCTAGAAGAGTTAACAGGTAATACTGTGCTTTACTTTTCCTCAGTTCATTTACATTCTTGTTTTCCTTTGAAAATGCTTGTTTGAAGGCTTGGAGGATGTCTGTCTTTAGTCATTGTTTGTACCAGTAGCTTCCAACTTTGCATATCCATCAACACACACTTTTAATATTTTTTTTTCTCCCAAGCCTTTCTGTACCAATTCAAGTTTTCAGTGCTAATCACCCCTTCTTTTGATCAAGCTTGTCAGCATCTTAAAGGTGCCGCTGGTGTAGGCCACTGGTGACAGATGGATAAACTGTGTTAACTCTAGGGAAGCTAGGGCAGTAGAAACAAACTTGGCGGTAAATGTGGTTCTTGATAATGTTCAGTTAAATATTGGAGTGCAGCTGGCGACGACTCCTCCAGCAGGGAGTTGGTTACCAGCTTCTTTTCCCACCTTCCCTTTCCGACAAGGGGAGGCAAACCCAGTGTGTTTGTGCTG